TTTTAGCAAGCTCATTATGGATTCGGCCAGGTGATGAGGGACGGGGCCCGACATATCCGGACAAACTACTCATGAAAAATTCCTGGAGATTTTTTACCCGTCTAGCTTCGATCCTTATGGTCCTGTTTTCCAATATAGACCAGTCGCCATATATTCAGAGTTTGCCATGGATTCCACCAACGGTACCATATAAATTCTCCGTGTCTATAGATATCAGTTATTTTTGAGTTGCAATGGCATCACTACAAGCAGTTGAAGTCTGATCGTCATTGATACAAAAGTCTTACATTTTTCGAAGATAAGTGACACTTCATGTCATTATCTTTTGTTAATATTGAAGTTGATATAATAATAGAATATTGTAACTTAGTTTATTTTATCATACAACTAGTGTTCTTTTAATTGCACTTTGTCATTTTAGTAGACTGTGTCGGTCCAAATGATAAAAAGTTAGAGGTACGCAATATAGCCAGTATGGAATATAGTGGAAACGGGTGTATTGGTAAAACATATTTTTATTATTAGGATCTATTATTACTATTGTTATTTATAATTTTAAATATCAATATTAATATCCATTTTGGAATCTTCTATTTCAGATGATATCAATTATTCCAAACGAAGATAACGAGACAAATGAGACGTTGAAAACCTGGATTTGGACTTGAAGAAATTTCGGTTTTCAACTCATAACATTAACTAAACATCTATATGCCTTTGATCAAATAAAAAATATTTTTGTCACTTCCACGCGTTTATTTCTCATGATTTACAAAGTAGTCCATATTGGGAACAAAGTGTTCCTAACAAAGTCCTCTTGTCACTTTTCGCATATGAATTTATTACATTTTTTACATTCCAGTCATAAGAACTAGATTTTTTTCTTTAGTTGTCCAATTAGATCCATTCGGTCGTAAGTCAGTCATTTCTTGATTTTAAAAAAATGGAGTTAGTCAAAATAATAGTTTAAGCTTAGGTGGGCCATATGGGGGCCTTTATCTTATATTTAACTACGCACTATGCATAAATATTTATAAAAACAGATTTATAGATCTGAATTGCATACATCTGACACTTTTATTTTAAAATGTTGCTTTTTTTACAGATGAATCTCTTTCTATAAAGGAAATTAAATTTTTTCAGAAAGTAAATTGCTTCTCTCTATTCTAAACAAAGATTTAACCGTTTCGATAAAGAAGTTTTGCTATTAAAGTTCTAGCTTTACAGTTTCTGTTTAAAGGAGAAAATAAAATCTTTACACTCTTTCCATTTTTATACATTAAAATCCTTTTCTCCATTAACCTGTAGAATTGTGTCAAAGCAATAATTTACGAGCGCTGGTTGATAAAAATTACAGAAACATTCGTATTTACTATGGAATTAAATTTTATTTACAGTGTTGGATTAACTTGATTTCTGTTCAACACACGTAAGATAATTTACGCTTATCTGTGGCTGAAAAATGAAAAACACATCAACATTACTGGAAAGCTTTCGCCCGGAGATTTATTAATAGAAAATGAATCACGAAGTGTAAAATTAAACTTAAGCTATCAAGCGCATAATGATCAATCAGCTGAATTAAATCTAGAGTATCTTATCTAATTCAATCAGTTGTTTAAATCCATCTAAATTAGTACAATTTCATTCAATATGTATAATTATAAAACAAAAATATCAAAAAAATTCTTATTTATCTTCAATGGAAATGTTTAGTGTAAGATGAAAATACAAAGATCATATAGTAATTTTCAGATAATACAAAATAATACAGATATTGTGAATATAAATAAATAAATAATTATTTAAAATGAATAACTTGTAACTTATTTAATTATTTAATGAGTACTCATTAAAATTATTTAATGAGTAACTTGGTTTTCTTTTTACTAGTCGAACATAACTATTACATAATCATATTCGTATAGAAGACAAGCAATTATTTATTGTGAGATCGTCACAATGCCGGACTGCAATTTTTAATCATATTTTAAATTTATTCAATTTAAAATATACAGTATGCTCTACACCTCAAATTAGTGCTGTAGTGTCTTACCACTGTACATCATACTTTTCCGTTAGCAATGGAGTCGTACCGGTCATCTATCTAGCTCCTTTCAGGGGACTTTTTCAATTGAAATAACGTGGCTTCTAGTTTGCGTCGAAAGTTTATAGTTAATCGGGGCCTCCGGCCCCTAAGACTTCCATATAATCTTTTGAATTTTATTTATCTAACGTCATTCTAGAAATTAAGAAAAGACAGACTAACGACAGTGGAAATTTATAGGTGTATAATTTTTTCAAATTGCAGCCCAATAAATATTCAGATTTCCTCAAACGTTTAATTAATATATTTAAAAATGTGGAATTTTTTACATAAATATCACATTTATAGAAATCAAAGTGTTGATTTCAAAATCAGCTTTGTTTTATGGCATCTATTAAGCTACAGTATTACGATAACGCATATCTCTGAAATATACAATATTAACATAGAAATACTTATTATAATCTCGTTTATAATATAAACTATGCACATTTAAAAAATATAAATTATATGTATGCGTCTACATTCTACGTATATGTAGGCCTATAATATACACTCTACGTATATAAAGGAAATATTTCTGAACAGGCACAAGATAGTTACCATTTAATGGAAGATATACTATCAATTTTCAATTTTTTCATTTTTTTTTCTTTTTTCATATATAAGATACAAAACTTAACAGAAGAGGCGCAAGAACACTGCCATTCTCTCGAGTCTCTTTTGGGAAAGCAAAGCAAGAAATCAAAAGTAAACTTCCATGATAAAGTTCTAAATACAAGAAAATGTTTCCACTGTAAACATGACTTGTTTTATTTTGCTAGTCAAAAATAGTTTTATATATTTCAAGAAAGCATTTCGGAAAAAAGTTTCTCGACTATTTGCTGATTTTTCGCATATATTACAATTGCATTCTTTAACAGAATATTCAAAAACTTTACGATAAATTTAAGAAAGAAAAACTATTTAGAGCAAAGTATTGATATGAATGAAGTTAACAAAATACTGTATTATTTTATTATAATGCAAAAGTAACGACTAGTTATAAAATGGTTTAAAAATCATATAATACACCGTATTTGTTTCAAAAATATATATTTGTTATTTTGAATTCATTATATTATTATTATCATTATTATTATTTTGTTAATCATATTTTGTATTTATTACACAATATTTGTGGCCTTTATATCTGGATAACAAATATATGGAGAAAAACAAATATTTTTATATACAAAAACAAAAAGAATAAAACGTTTTCGCAGCTATATAATTGCAAGACGTATAAACGCCAGCTCTCTTCTACAAGGTTACCAAAATTAAAGAGTAGGTGTTTAGAGTTCTCTGTAAAAAGAAGTATCGGACAACTCTCAACTAAATTTGGCTTTCGATTTTCGGAGAAAAAATTTTACAGCCAAGGAAAATTTTGCACTGTTGTCCCTTTAATGTGCATATTGCATATGCTTTTCTAACAAATTTGGAGTGAAAATAAAGTCGAAAACATCCGAAATTAGCACCAAATTTCTTCCTACAAGTTGAATTTTGAAATAAAATTTTTTCCAAAAATCGAAACCGCATATTTAGGACAGCATATATAGGCACTAAATTTGGTTGATATTTGTCCAATAATTTTGTCTGCAGAGAGCTCTGAACACTTACTTTTTAATTATGATCATCCTATTGAATATATATCGAAACAAGCAAAGAATGAAAGGAAAAATAATAATAATAATAAAGTTGTCAAAACAAATTATTGTTTATATAGTTTGAAATGGGATAATGCTTCCCGGTACAATCAGTATCTTTCTTTACCGATTGTATCTGTCCTGTGTGATTCTAATAAGTGTAATTTGTCAGAAAGTAATTTTTATCATTTATTCAATTTACAAAATAGAGTATCTTACTACTCATTTCTCATGTTGATTATTACACATCTGTTATAACGTAACATCAATTTAAAATGTCCATAAAATGTGTTTTCTTTATATGATTTATATGAATATAACGATAATGTTTCCTTCCGATTTTAATAATAAATTTCTTTTGTCTTCGTCTTTTGTGGAAATGAAGATGAAAAATTTTTAAATGCCTTAATCAATCCTCACAAAAATATCCGTGTAAATTATGTTTAAAACACAAAGAAATAGACAAAAGCTTTTAAATCAAAGAAAAAATAACTTGAAGTGATAAAATTTATAAAGATATTTTCTACAGGAAAGATTCGTCATTGACATCCTTACTGATTCATTCTCTAACAAGAAATGCTTCAATAGAAGCAAATTTTGTATCGTAAAGTGACTTGATATAATCGAAAAAAAGCATAGAGTACATTATAAGAGAAATTCAAATATCGAAAAATAAAACATTTTATGTGCTTCAATCCTTGATATTTCAAAGAATATTACTGCTCTATTTGCTTGTGTTTAAAATTTATTATTATTATATTCTGCGTTATTTTAAATTACTTGTTTTTTCATTTTTGTCTTACTTTCTTTTGTCTATTATTTTTTTTTATTTTCTTGTTATTTTGTCTTAGTTTTTTTAACATATATAAAACTAATATTGTTAGTAATGTATAAAGAAAGCCTAATCATAAATTTTAACACATGGAGAGCATCGTGAAACGCAGGAAACTGGCCGACAAAAGCACCTAGCATAAATATAAAAAGTACAGATAGACAAAATTGAATATGTATATCCTAAACTAATCTTCAATTACTTTAATTTTTTAAAACACTTCAATACAATTAACAGATAAAGAAGATAACGTTAACAAATTATAGAAAAACCAATAGAAGAAATATTTTCATGAATTAAAATCAAAACATTCAATGAAACAAATGCTTTATTGCAACCTAATTAGTTTTACGTGTATTTTATAAACGTTGTTATAAATTTTACAATAAAAATATTTTTGTTAATGTTTAAAAGTCTGGGTTTTTAACTTGTATTCTGTCTAATAGACAGACTTAAATTGTCGAAGTTTGAAAAATAATAAAACGTTTTGTTTTATTGAGTACTGTTAATTTCGTTACCCATTCTAAAACAATACAATATTTATTTTGATAAATTTTTGTACAAGTGTGTAAATGTATCATACGTTCCTGCACATAATATACGTTTTGAAATACATTGCTTACCTTTCTCTTTTTTTTCTTTTCCTTCAAAAAAGCTTGTAGTAATTGATTTCTTAGTAAGTAACTTAGGCCTTCGTTTTGTTTTGTGATGAGAAATAGATTCCTCTAATTAAAATAAATACATAAAAATCATTTTACTAAATATTTATTATTTTATATATAAAGTGGTCGATAGTTAACTTGTGGGGAAAAAGTTCTGAATTATTTACCTTTCGGTACTTCAATCTTAAAACCGAGATTTAAAGATTTTAATTTATTTAGAGAAACTTGCTGTAAGGCCAATCTTTCGATTTCTGTTAAAGTTAAGACGTTAGTCGATGTCAATTTTACTTGATGACCAGTCGTAGTTTTCCAGCTGCAATTTCCCTACATAATAGAATATTAATACAGTAATATGAAATATTCCTATTAATATCAGTCTTTTAAATATATATTTATTCTGAAATCTTAAAATACAATATTTTTTTTTGTTTTAAAATAATAATATTAAGATATATTCATTAATTAACATCGGTAGTTTATTAATTCGAATGTTCAAAAATGCAAAGTTTGAGATAGAAAACGTCTTATAATTATTTTTAGAGTAAGTTATAAACTAACTTTCGGTATAATTGCGCTATATTACTATTACTTAGAATTATAAAATTAAAATAAAGCATGACAAAGTATCAAAATTAGCGAATATGTAAATATAAATTACTGTTAAGAAATTACGTTTTAGTTAATATTTTATATTTATATATCCGCGAATTTTTTCGACGACAATTTCTACGATTTATTGGAATATATTTCTCGAGAAATGAGAATCGCATAGAAGCATTTTCTAATAAGAGTGAGTTATTTCTGTCGAATGAATAAGTTTCGAGGAAAGTAATACAAGATGGAAATAACTATCATCAAAGCAATCGTTCTCTGCATTATTCGAACGTGTAGCGATCGAAGTAGATTAACTGCAAAGACTTCTCTCCTTTACACAATATGCTAATTCCGAATAAAGTAGGATTTAGGATACATATATTTGAAGCCAAAGGAAAGTTTTAGAGGTTTTCTCTAATAAAATATTTCGTTTTTTCTTTCACTAAAATGCTAATTTTAGCTTTATCTTGGGCAGTTTTATTATAAATTACAACTAAACTTGAGTTTTTCTAAAGAAGAAATTCTAATTATATATAAAATATTATAAGTTTTGGTATACGATATTTTGAAAAATTAAGTGCCAATTAGCAAATACTGTTACTATACTAGCATTTCTGGACTTGGGATACGCGAATAATTAATTGAATACATTATTAGTAATAAATCCACGTTATACTGTTTTGGAATATATAAAATTTTCCTTTTTCATGAAAGAAGTAAGTGGACTGGAAAATTTGGAAACCTCTGCATTACACTATACGACGTTACTATAGCACAAAATCCGGTTTCGTCATCTCCATACTTTGTGTATTACAGAAAGTATAAGTAAACTAGTATAAACTGTTGTGTGACAAAAATAAAAACTATTTATCTCAAAAATGAAGAAAAACAAACAAAGAATAATCTAGAATGTTAGATATATTGTTTTAAATCATATAAAAAAATAAAAATAATGAATGTCATCAGAGATTATATAATATGCCTATTATAAATTAGAAATGGCACGATCAAGCCGTTAATAACTTCCGTTTCCGGTACTGAACTGTTCGGAAAATCAATATGTCTGATCATACAAATATAACAAGTTCTTGAAGTTAAAACTCAAGTTATTTAAAGTTGTTCAAGTAACTTGATATGTATGTAGTAACCAGATATATGTAATCATCACTTTAAAATTAAAACTCGCCATTGATATTTTACGAAAAGAATATCCTCTTTTTTATATATCGAACCTTATGGGAAACAAATGGTTTTTAAAAGTATTTTCTTTTTAAGCATTCGGTCTCTGCACAAAAGATTTTGGCGAAGAATGAAAGAATGTTACGGATTAAAACGTTATTTTTAAAGCAAACGAATAATCTTAGTGCTGTAAAATAATCTAACATACAGAAACAAACGCACTAAATCGAAATTACTTAATGTGTAGAAAGTAATAAAACGAATGTGACTGACGAAAGCGAAGGATGAATGGAGGATATGAAACGTTTTATAACTCATATTTGAGGTAAACGACCCTCACAGGAAGTATAAATGCAGTTTCCCGCGACATGCGAAACCTTGGCAGCGCCTCGTAAAACTAATTTAAAATGTCACTGTTCCTATTTACAAATCCATTTTTTAATATTCTTTTTGAAATATGAGCCGAGCCGAAAGCGAATAAGAGTGACGATATGTGTCGACGGTACTCGATTCGACAGTTATGCACAAATAATTACCTCTTAATTCGACGAAAACGTGCGTAAGCGAATAGACAACCGAACTGGCGATTTATTTTGCTTCGATGCATATTTGACAACATTATATATATAGAGACTATGTCGGTGCCTTTGTTGTTATTTAGGTTTGGTGAGTCAGCTGGAGTACGAAGGAGAAACAAATACGAATTTTCTCGTGATATTTTTGCCTTCTTTTACTCATTAATCTGATATTTATAACTTTTAAAAATATTATTAAATATTTTTAGTGTTTGCTCGATAAAATCGATGAACTTCTTGTTCTAATTACCAGGTTCATATCCCTCACACCGAAACAAGTAAAATTAAGAGTAAGGTTCGCCTAAATAGGGAAATATATTAATAAGATAAATTCATAAATTCTCCAGAAACTCTATCTTATGTCACTTCTACAGAGTATCGTCTGACTTCCGCTACTAATTAGCTGACGAGGCAAATGCGTCAGGTGAATCTAGAGAAAAGTAGAGTGTGACTAAATGGGCGGGGGATGTAGCAGTGATCGCGACCTAATTTTGTCGCCTTGTTTCGACCCTGTGTATATTTTGTAACAAGCCAATCTATCACTCGTGCCAAAAATACACTATTACCGACGAAGGATAATTAAAATACTGTACACTTCGTCATTCGGACATTAATTGGATATTTTGACAATTTTAGAATTTCTAAGAGTTTTGAAATTTTTTCTATGATAAAATAATGAATCTTTCATAAAAATTTTGTAAAATCTTTTTAAGGAATAAGTCGAAACTCCAAAAACACTACAAACTGTTATAAAATTGATTTATTGTCAATTGTATGCAATAACAGTTTCATTGGATTAAACTTTTATTTTTCCATAATTTAAAAAAACGTCGGAAATTTTATTAAAACATATTTTGAAGTGTTTTTGGACTAGTTTGAGTGAACATCCGTAATTGCCTATTACATCTATCGCGATTAAATTGTGGCTTATCAAATAAAAAATAATATTATTTTTAAAGATTTATTTTTAAAATTTATAATGTGTGAGGGGACTTTAAAACATTAATATTTTTAAACCTTTAACAATTTTAATATTTTTACTATCTTTTCAAAGTAGTTATTCTTCGCTTTTGGAATTATATTGTTGTTATAAAACTCATTTATGATATAATTCGTTACTTTAAGCATACCATATTAATAACGCGTATTGCTTGAATTACAATAGGATTTTTGATTATATAAAAAATAGTACTATATCTACTACTTAATTTACGTTATTTATATACGACATTATTCAATGTAAATTGTCTTTTATATAACATAAATTAAAAAATAGAGTCATTGTATATTGTATACGTCTGTCAATGAACTATTTGATACATTTCTTTAAAAATAAACTCAGGTGAGATCGGAAAAGGTTACGTTCAAATTTGATTTCAATGCCGAATGGCCATATTCGTTATTAATAAAAGAAAAGCAATCATGATAAGATAAATGACGATATAACAAAAAAGTTATAAAAAAAGTATGTCAATTGTTATTAAAATATGTGAAATTCGACACTATACTGTAATTTTAAAAATCAAACTGCCATGTTCAGGAAACCAAAATTATTTTTTATTACATTTTCAACCATTCTGTGGCTATCTTCAACTTAAGAAACTACAAACTTGATATGTAGAAGGTAAATTTAAAATTGATCTGTTAAACTAAAAGTAGTTGTCATTAAACATAAATTAAAACAAAAAAATTATATAATTTTTTAAAATTTAACTCTTAATAAAAATATTATTATAGAATTGAGAAAATTAACTATAATACAAAATGGTCTTGTTTTTACGCATGTCAGCAGGTGCCGCGTAAAACGAAAGTAAGTGCAAATTAGTGCTCCACCCAAGTAGTCCCAAATGATTGTCTAGACACCTGCAACTATTTACAATTAACAGAAAACGTTAAAATTTGTTAAAAGTATGCAGAACAAAATTATAGTGCAAAAAACCAGCAGCATTCTGAACGCCATTCATTGTTCTAGAGTCAGAAGCTAGAGAAGCTTCTTTTGCTGACTTAAGAATCAATTTAAGGCCATATATCAAAAGTTAGAGTTAGAAGTTAACCAATAAGCATTCATAGACTAAAAGTAAAGTAAATGGTTAACTATTCTTGATTTTCAGATATGAATACGGATTAATGGCACTAACAGTGGGTTAACCTAATCATTCATCATTCGCAGAAACAAAATTTACATATTAATCTCGCGTATAACAAGATCTTACTGTGTATGTTTACTTGAAAATAATTATAATAAAACTAGATCTAAGCATATGATTTAAAAGTTAGTCTCTACAAATTCGTTTCGTAATCAATTATAAGATAAGTTGAAAATGTATTAGAAAACTAAAGATATTTGATTATTCTAACTTTTTAACTTTAATATATTTTCACTATCTGCTTGTTTTATTAGCTATGAAAAAGGAAAATACTCTACAGGTATTATGTAAACAAGAAGAAACCAGAGAGATGACATTGAAAGATGATTGTTTACTGTCACAAATAACAATTCAATTTGTTATTGAAAATTAGTTATAACTGATAATTTTTTGAATTTATTTAATTACTTAAAGTGTCAAGTTATTCATAATACTCTAACATTTCCAAAAGTTTTTTATATTTGGGGATGTAAAATATTATGAATAATAAAATGGTGCATTATCTTTATATCTTTTTAAGCAAAAAGTTAAAAACTATCTGTTTCGTTATTTTGCTTATGAATAGTAATTATATGATAGAAATTTCATTTATTGTTAATTTTTATAAAAACTTATTAAACATTAAACAAATTTCAATATTAATGATTTTTAATATTAATGATATTAATAATGATTTTATTAAATTATAATGTAGCTTATGATTAATTTGAAATCTCGGTATGGGTCAATGAGAATGATGGAATTAACTCGTCCGTTGGGAAAAACTGGAAATATTTTTAACATTCAGATATTTTATGATTTAGGAAACGGAAAATTTTCGATATTTGTT